CAAATCTAGCTAGAAATCATATGTTCTATTGCAGCTTAATGCCAGGGGTTTATTACAATCACAGATCCATAAAACTTCTCCATCTGATATCTTCAGACAGACAGAAAATTGTGGTCATTGTTATTAGAATGTTTAGAAACAATTGAAAAATATATTCATTCGGGTAGTAGCAACCAGTTACAAAAATGCTGAAACTAATGGATGGCATAATAGCACAGAAATAGTACATTGCTCTAGACATTATTAGAACTACACATTTTAAGACTCAGATGCCAATAACATTGTTTGGTCTAGTTTAAAGGGTAACTTCTTATTTTAATGCATGCATATTATATTTGAGTCTTTCCAATTTTGTGGCCATATACTTCTAGTAAACAAATAAATAACTGAAAGTCTTACCAGAATTTTCATAGGGATCCAAATGAAAGATATCAGGTTTTCTATCCTCTAACACATGGTCAAATGTGATTTGTGGAACAGGTAAAGTCTTATCAGGAGAAACTGATCCATTATCCTTTTCTGCTTTAGTTTTCTTCTTCTTCACCTAACAAAAATAAGTATTTAAATATTCTTTTTTAAAAAACAAACCCCAATCCTTTAAGTACCTAATCTGAATTCATCACTACAGGATAATTCAAAATTAGAAAAAATTAAAGAAATTACAATAACTAGGCAATCCAGCCCCCCTTCATTTTCTTTAGTCCAATAAGATGGATCCTATCGTACTGGACTAAATAAAGAGTAAATAGTTCTAACCATTTTAATTCAAAAGGCACATGTTCGTGCTTTACAATTGGTATTTATTGCCATGGACCTTCACCTGCAATTATTCAGAAAACTGTAAGCTTTTTACTTTAAATGATCACAGTCATTAAAATCTAAATGAGATGATGATCTGACTCAATATTCTTAATGGCAGTGCTAAATTGTATACTGCATATTACTTTATTTTTCTGGACGTAGGGTAGGCAAAAACAAATTTGTCAGTTGTATTTGCATACGTATATAAATGATAAATGTATATAATGAATGTTGTGATAAATGTTGGATACACACACACACACACATATCCATCCAACAGTTACTGTAACAAAATTAAGTTTACCCAGTTCAATATTATCTCCTGAGAATGCCACTGAACTCCTGGATATCTGACAGGGGAGTTTCAGAAGTCATTCTGTGAAGTCATGATGTAGTGAATCCTGCAGTGTGCAGGGGGTTGATGACCCCTTAAGTCTCTTCCAACTACATATGATTCTATGATGGTAACATATAGGAGATATTCACAGTTTATAAATGTTACCAGAGACCCATGGTGTTTTACTATTTGGTTCTTTGATATCTAGTAGCTATTTTTGCTTTATTTTGGATTGCTGCCTTTAATCCATCTTGAAGTATTTAAGTATCCAATGCCTCTATCCTGTTTTCATTTTGGGAACTTCAATCTTTTTTAAAAGTGGATTATAACAAAATTATCTACACCCCTTCCCCTTGAAAAATCCTCAGACGGGAAACATTGATACTAAAGTAGAGAACTAAAATCACACAGATAAACAAAACAGAATTGTCTTATTTGAACAGCTTTATGAAAAAAACCTGTATACAATTCTTCCTCCAAGACAGGACATTCTGAAAAGCAACTTTTTTTTTCACCTTGGTCAAAGTGTTGGGGTGGGAGAAGAGACCTCAGTTAACAGGCCCATCACTCTGCATTACTGCCAGGAAGCTATGCCAGAAATATTCCAGTGAAAGCTTAAGACAACTTCCCTTAAATGGGAATCTGCATATAAGGCAATCCATAGGAAGAGCCCAAATGAAGCAAAATGTCTCCACATTTCTATACCCTGTGATGTATATTCTACTGAATATACTTCAAAATTCTGGCTCAATTACAAATGTATTTAGGTGGTATTTAGGTGCAGATATAATCTACAATTATACCTACAAGAGCCAGGGTACTTCCATGAAGGAATAAATGGCAAAATATCCCAGGAGAAATATCCCCTTGAGCCATATTCCCAAATGTTGTGAAATAATAGGTTGCCATTGTTAGTTACCCTTTTCCTTCTCTACCGTTTCACTAATTGCATCTGCTTGATGCAGATTTTCCTGAGGAAAATCTTCTGAAGGACAAAATTGCCCCTCTGGTTCTGCTTGTGCCTGAAACAAAAGAGGTTCTTCTGCACTGAGAAGCGTCAAACAGGGACGGGGCCCACAAAAGTCAACACAACCCTCCACAAGCCTATAAAGGCTTCATGCCAGGCAGGCAGGCTGGCCAGCCTCTCATATTCAAGACTGTAACACTACACGAAAAATAACACCTTCTGCATAGATGCTTTATTTTGGAGAGACTCTGGGCAAAATATTCAGCAAGGCTATCCTATGTAGCAAGAAGCCTATTTTATGGGAAAGAACTTCATTTCCATCCAGCTTTAAATGCTGTTATTCAATCAAAAATGTCAAAGGAAAATAAAAAAGTAGTTCATTACCGACACCATCCCTGTTTTCTTTGGCTTGGGACTAGGAGACATCAAGTGATAACTTCTGGAAGGTTTTTTAATGTATATTTTCCATGTGGAAGAATCTGGGTTTTCTGATGCATAGCACCTCCAGGCCGTCTAAAATATTTGTTAAAAACACATAACAGTTGAAGTTAGCAACAAAAAAAGTTATGCATCCCCAGAAATCAGTCCAAATTGCAAACATGAATTTATCTAAGATAGGATACACTTTTATATTTCTAAATGTATACCCAAAGCCAGGAATGGTAGAAATTTCGAAACAGAGGCAGAGGGGTGGAAAGATAAAGGAGTTTAGAAAATACATGCCAGTTATGAAACAAGCTGATTCAAAATGAGTTGAGAGTTCAAATAAATTACTGAACATCCTTCACATTTAGCTATTTAACTGGTCCCATTTCAAAAACCAAACAAAAAATGCCATTATGACTCAAGGCTTCACGTTGCTTCCTTTTGCAGTAGCTGCAAATGGAAACTGGATGAAGACTGAAAATTCATCAGCCCAGTTTCATTACTGCAAAGAAATAAGGTGACAGTCTTCCTGAGCAACTGGAAAAGTAACACCAAATCCACCCTTTTAACAGTTGTAATACATATAAGAAAACTAGCATTTAAGCACGAAGGCACCTGAATAAGAGAAGCAGCTGCTGGAATTTGTCGGTTGAAGTGTTTTTGCCTTTGTTTCTGTTGTACCTTCAGAGCAAATCCAGAACCAAGGATTCCCTGAGGAACAAAGGAAATTGGTAGAGTAAACCAATCAGTTAATTACATAAATGCCATTTCAAATGTGAGGTTTGGGGTAAACTCAGCTGCCATGGAATTTGGAGCAAAGGCTGAGATTCTGCTAAATTTGGGCCTGGCTTATCGACGGCTGCATCATCCCTGAAATATCCAATTCACTCTATTGGATGTTCTGGAATACATACATTCCATAACCCTGGAATGTTTCCAGTATTTTATAGCCTCCACTGTTTGCATACTTAAGAGTTGTACTGAGCGATAGCTGTATAATGTAAACTCACTGCATAAAAAGTGTCTCTTACTCTTGCTGTCCACAGTATATTTTACATATACCAGTATTAACATATATTTAGGTAGCAATCATAAAATCCATGATATTGTGCGGTTGTTAAAAAAAATGAGTGCATAAATGTCAGGATCTTTTGAATTGGTTTTAGCGGTGCTTTGAATTTCTACTGCTGCAAAATGTCCCCAATACAGTGCAATATTTTTTTTGTTGCCTGCTGATGTATTTTCTCAATCACCCTCATCTTCTCTGGCTGCTCACGCTTCCTTTTCCGAAGAAATCCTACTGAGGGAGTCCCCTCAGAATGTCTTCCCCTCAGGGATTAAATAAAGTGAGCTAAGCTGGGACACTCACAGACCACTAGATACTGAATTGTTCAAGGATTTTTCAGCTACTTCTTGTGATTAATTGTGCAAGAGCCTAACATATTAAATGTTTCGCCTCCTTAAGAATTATCAAAAGCATGTGTTACCATCCAGTTGAATGAGGATGGTAGAAAACAATGGCAGAATGTATATCTATACCTGTATCTAACTCAGTATGTATGTATGTATGTGTATGTGTGTGTATGTGTGTATGTATATGTATATGTATGTGTATATATATAGGCACAGCCCTAGAAAATAACATGACAGACAATCTCAAGACAGCAAGGAAATCACAGCATACTTGAATACAGATCTAGGTATATCCTACCAGACAAATGCTCAGAGAAGCTAAAGAGATAATTGTAACATGATGTTTTAGTGCAATAATGTCTATTATTGTCTACATGTTTCCTGCTTTTTGGGATTGTTTTGTTCTTCTCTTTAAACCCAGAGTCATTTTGGAATTGGGTGACAATCTAAATCTAAATCAATGTTATTCATTCATTCGTTTTTACAATTCATAACCCAGCTTCTGCCCTTATGGCATTCAACCTAACAAATTCTCACATCCTGTAAGTTGTATTGAGTTCAGTGCAGTGTAAAAAAAAAAAGGATATAAAATTAATGTATAGTTACTATTACATACATAGGGACTAATGAAAATAAATCCTATTATATATATGCACAACTAAAATAAGTTTGGACTAGTCTTAAACAACTTACTGCAGGCAAGGCAAAAAATGATATTGCAAATACAGAAAAGCAAGACGCGATGGTTTTTCCTATCCATGTTTGAGGCACCTTGTCTCCATAACCAATGGTTGTAACAGTCACCTGAAATCAAGAAATAAATATGATTTCCATGCAATCATCTAGCTTTATTATTATTTCAAATTACCTCTGAGGTATAATTATATATTATGAAATACATATTTTATGCTAACTAGAACAGTTCTTTATTCACAAGAAATTAAAAGTATTTTACAGTTGCCATACCTTGAAAGGTGCAATGGTATTTTTTTTTTCAGACAAAGATCTTTTAGGATATTATTAATTATGCAGATTAATTAATAAGCTTATAAGACTGTATAGATTCAGAACAGCATCACTCCTGCTTCTCCAATCATTTTGGTTCATAGAGCTTTTCTGTACTAAAGTGCAGATTTCCAGATTTCAGCCCTTTCATTCACTTTGGTCATAGTAATGTCCAGACCAGTTTTACCCTGGACCTTAAGTAGTAGATTCTCCTTTTTTCTTTAACTGCTCCTGGACCAGTTTAAAAAAAGGCAGGCAGGCGGGCAGGCAGGCCCAACAGCTTTACCATTTTTCCTGTTATGTGGGCTAGAAGGGGCACATGGAAGAAATCTGATCAGTTTTGCCTCATTAAAAACATGAAAAACAAAGACAGGTCCATCTTTCACTGTCCCACTGATCTATAGATGAATTTGTTAAAAAAAAAAAAGAAGACCCATCGTTTTATGTTTTTGTTAATGAGCTTGTAAAATAGAAAATCATCATCATTCTCCTGTTAAATTTGTTTTTTAAAAAAAGGATCGTGGAGGCCAGCACCCAGTGTTTGGAGGAAAGGGGGTCTTCCTGTCACAGAGCACAGTAATCGGAATGGAGGTGCTTGCCTGCAATGAAATGAAACAGGGCGTGCAAACTGGACAGTACTGCTCACACCAGCTCAGATCAGAAAACCCTAATTTTAATATGCAGCAGAAAAAGAGAAGTGGTGGTTGCCTTTCTGGTGGACTGGCAGTGGTGAGAGGATGATGTCATGTGTTCTGCGTTCAAGGAATGGTAAATGGCTGGTACTGACACTGGAGCAGGCTGGTCATGAGAATCAATAGCTATATCACAAGGAACTGTAGGATTTTTCACTTACTTCAGTTTAAAAGTCAATCCTATCCCAATCTCCTTAGCATATTCCCTGTTGTAGGAAGCAGAAAAGGAACGGCCGTTTGGGGAACAAATCCATAACAATATTTTGGAATACCTGAAATTGTATTTATTCGAGGCTTGACATACAATTGGTAACTTTACCATTTCCTTTTCTAAAAGAGGACAGGAAGTCGACTTACAGCGATGCCTCTATCACACACAACTCCATATGTATTTGGCTTTTTGTGTTCTATATTCATGAAAGTTTGGAAAGTTGAATTGCCACTTTCTGTAATGGAATTCAGAATGTGCCTTCCAGTACAATGAATGCCTCCATACAATCCGGTATCATATTTCAATGTCATAATAAACTGTGGTTTTAATAATATGTGAACAAGCCTACCTACTTCCTGGGCTTATGTGTTCCATTCTTTCCTCCTTCTATGTGATCCATAGAAGGTTTCTGGAAGCTATTATTTCCTCAGGTTTAAAACAGATCATTTTCAAATTGGGATTTGCTTTTATAAAAAGTAACTGCAATTCACAAATCTGATGATCTGGGCCACTACGGTTAACAAAAAGCAGAAGGAAACACATCAGAATGATTCCTCCTAGATGGGCAGAAGAGGGGAGAATGGAAACCTGCAAACTAACTGATTTGCATTGTACTAAACACAGCCAAAGCCCATCCCCTTAAAAGTTCATTACTAGTTTCTAATATTTATGGGCTACCACAATACAAAACTCTAGATATTTACCAGACATAGATACTTGTAGTTATAATTATATTTATCATGATACTAACGTTCTCCACATTTCGAGGCCTTATCATGGTTTTTCCTCATGTAGTGTTCTAAATTCTCATCTTTGACCTTTACCTTTTTTTTTTCTGCATGGCCACTCTATATTCATAAGAAGGCATTTACTTGTTATTATGCTACCAAGCAGCATAAAAATCTAGGAAGATGGATTAATGTCCTCCAAAGATGCAGTGCAGCATAAAGAAGCAAAAGGTTTTCCAGCCAAATTGCCACATAAAAACTGATTTCTTGAATCCTATCCCAATCCCCTTAACATATCCCTAAAATAGCTCAACATTCCATCTCAATAAACTCTTTCAGATTTCCATGCCAAGTGTAGTAACCAAAATAAGTAACCCAACTAATCAAAGTTGGGTGCTGGTATCTAATTTGTACATTAGAAATGTTTAGACAGCTGTTGTGTCAGTTCTTTGTATACCCCCACAACCTTATGCATCTGTGGGGTAAGAAAGAAACCTATCATTACACTGTCACATATAGGAGAACCTTAATTTAGGAGAAAGAAAAGTGGATAGGAAATGGAATTACAAAATAGCTCATGTTAACATGCTGTAAATTCAAAGCATTAATTGAGGCCTTCATGACCTGGAAAACTTTACAATGCATGAAGTCTCAGGGCACCCTGCCCAAATTCTACTCTTCTCTGTAGAGAAAACCGTTCCAGCTCCAATCCAAATGTATTTGGGGTTTCTTTTACTGTAGGGAAAGATCTGTACTTAAAGGAATCCCAGTCCATGTGAAAAATGCTGCAGGGGAGATTTATATAGTAAAAGGCAAAGAGGGCAAGCAGGTTAGGGGCAGAACTAACATTGGTTTAATGGTATAAATCAATTTAATGATTGAAATAATTCTTTAAATTGGTTCAATCATTTACTTGCAATATTGGGGATGTTTATGGTAAGACATAGCAATTTTGTGAGAAAATATATTCAAAATGTTTGTTTGAACATGCATTGAGATATTGTTTAAATATGCATTGTCATGGAAAATATTCTAACACTGCAGATTAGGGTAGAAAAGGGACAGAACAAACTTACAAATAAGGTTCCCCTGCTCTTTAATTTGTACATCAACCCTCTTGTGGCCAAAAAGAATAATTTAGAGGATTATCCCCCAAATTAGCTAATAGGCAGATTGCAGCCTTATCATATGCAGATGATATAGTAATTCTAGTGCCAATATCAACTGGACTAATACAAGCTCTGAGCGCACTAGATGCTTACTATTCTGAGGAGGCACTTGAGATCAGCTATGATAAAACCAAGTTCTTAATTTCTACAAAGTGACCTAGAGTTCATGCCTGGTGGTTAAATGGCCAGATAACAAGCCAAGTTAAAACCTTTAAATATTTGGGCATAGTCTTTCACCACTTTATACCAAATGCAGCCCGCACTGGAACTATGTAATCCAAAATGCACAAACATCAATGGTAGCTATACCATTTTCCACTTCACCAAAATGGCATAGCATAGCCCAGCAGCATTAAAGCTTTATTTGGCTACAGCATGCATACAACTTCTGTTTGATGCTCAGTTGGGACCATCCTCTGGAAAAGATTCAATCCAAATTTTTAAGGACTATATTTCAAGCATGTGGCTAATGTGGCACAAAGGAGGGAGGCAGGTTTGAAGTACAAATGGGCACATGGGCTTGTACTACTGCCCATGGGTTAAAAGTACTGTTTTTCCAGAATGTCTGCACTCTTGGCATATTGTAGAAAATTATAACTCAACATGGAAAAGAACAACCCTTCAAAAATTGCAACACTACGGACTTTCCAGAGAGGCCATTCTGGTTATGGGCTACAACTGAGCACTAACTCCACTTAAGTAACATGCTAGAGATTTGGAAGCCAAACTGACCTGACCTACCTAGAACAGGTTCCTGAGTAGCCATGCCCCCCTTTTTTTAGGCCAGCCAAGATACTTAAATCAAATATCTGTTTCTAAATTTCAAAAAGTGCTAACATTAGCACATTTCAATGTCCCCCAACAGCTGTTCTTCAGGGCAAATTAAAAAAACAACAACAAACCCTTACAAGCTAAGATTGTCTCTTGTGGAGAAGAATCTATCAAATTCATAGCTTATGTCCTTTTATACTGCTTATTCCATAAGGATGAAGAGCTTGCTTCATCACTCAAACTCTGGGCAAAGTACCCAGACGAGTCTGAACTATTTTACTTTTATCAAACCAGTCCTTGAATAAGGCTAAATGTTGTTGTAATCAAGACATGCTGTGATTGCCTCAATGACTTAGCTATAATTTTATGTTGTGTTATTTTAGTTGAAATAGAAACAGTTATTTAATTATTTGTCTACATGTAGAATTCTGGTCAGTGACTGTAATAAAAGTGATGTTGTTGATGATGCTGATAATCCTGATATCAAATCAAAAGTACCTCTGATTTAGTCTCTTATTTCTAACACTGACCAGTTAAATGCCAGCTTGAGCAGTTCTGAAAAAAAAGTTTTATTAAAGTTTCTGAGAGATAGAGTGTTCCAAAACAGAAAAATCAGCCATTTTGTTCTCAATTAAAAACTTCAATAAGTGGAACTATTACAATACAAAGTTATCTGTTTGTTATCTGTCAAGTAGGTCCAATATATATCTGCAATCAAGCTTTCTTTACAAAACAGAAGAGGTTTATATGTAAGAAGTTATTTATTCTCTTTACACATGTCTTTGCTATTTCAAAACTGGAATTGTAACATACTAAAAGAGGAGGCAATGTTTGAATAGCTTTGTTTGATCAGCTGGATAGTTTTACAGCACTATTATGTACAGAGCAGTGTTCTTGCTCTCCCAGCAAGCTTAAGGCCAAGCATCTGGCAGCGCTGAAACTTTGATGATATCACCGCCTCGCAAAGGCTGGTGGAGTTGAAAGTTACATGAACACAAATCACAAAGAACAATGACAGCCCAAACAAAGCCTGACAAGAGAGAGGAGTGATTTGTAAACAAAAGAATTATGTTGTTTAATTAAAATGTTATGGTCTTGTTGATAGATGGTCCCTGCCATTCAGGTATCTTCTTCAGTTAGTATAACTAGAGATGTGGTTTATTAAATGTTAACTGATTCACCAAAATTAGGAGGAGTCTGGTAGCAGCTTTTCCAACTAACGCATTTTTATTAAAGGGCATAAGTTTTCATGAGCTGCAGTTCACTTCATCAGATGCCCAGAGTGGCTTGGCTGATATAGGATGTTAATTGGGAGGAGGCAGGTGGGACGCAGAAAGGGAGTAGAAGACTGGTTGGTAATGCAGGTGCAGGTTATATGAGGCAGATTACAAGTACTTTATCAGTTAACAACTGTAATGTGTTAAAAACCCATTGTGTTTGTTAGGCCCTTCTGAGATAGCCTGAAACCTTTTAACATAGGTGAAAACTTTTAACAATACCTTATTGTAAAATGACTTATCGTCCACAGTATTTCTGACTGCCTTTTAGGTACCATAAAACTCTTGGCTGTTTTTGTTACCATTTTGGAATCTGGATTAAATGTGGTGGTCAACTGAAGTATCTTCCCTGACTATAACATTTGTGAGGCAAGAAAATGTAAACAAAGCTTGGGGACTAATGAATCCTACAGATACCCTAAGGCAGCTGAAATGCTATATAACCCACTAAAAAGCTACATGCTAATCATTTCCTTTTGAAATACTAATTGTAAATCTTGTCCATTTTAAACATATGTCCTTTTAGTTCCTTAATATTTAAATAGAAGGAATGAAGCACATTTTTTGCCTTGAGATTTTGCTCAATTGGAGGTGTATTTATAGCAACTCAATTCACTAATCCGCTGTGGTTTTAACAAATAAAAGAGAATGTATGTAAATATAATATTAAACTATATTAAATAAACATTGTAGAGGATTACAAATAAATGTATGAAAGATTAATACTGCATTCTAATAAAACCATATATCCAATATTAAAAATTCTGTTTCATTTATCAAAGAGTTATATAGCCTTATTTATTCCTTTGTCTTAATAACTAAGAACTAAAATTGGGTAGGGAATGTGTGTAACCCCCACCCGCAACTGTTCTGTGCTGGTGGCTGGGATCCTCTTCAGACCTTTCTTCAGAAGCCTCCACACAGTTAGGAATCCTTTTTAGCAACAGGCTTCTCCAAGAGGTTCAGTTAAAATTTCTTGATTCTGGAAGCCATCCAAAAAGCTTGAGAAAGTGCTATTTTAATTCCATGTATCTTTTTTTTAAAAAAGGTCATTTGATTGTTTTTCAAATCTGCAATTTTTACAGTTAATTTTTTAAAATTTTTATGATTTTCACAAGTCTATTGCAAGATATGTATGCATTTAAAATGTTTCTGGTCTCTACATAAATTGAATGATTTATAGCTTTCATTTGGGGAAGCTTTAGAAGCAATCCAGGTTGTGCTGCTTCTACCTGCAATTTCTGGGGCACATTTGTTTTATTTGTTGATCTTTCAATTTGCAGTGGGGATAGTATTCAGACTGTATGCTTTTTAGATTGCATGTAGCATGAGGTTATATTTTCTCACATTTGATTTTTCTTCTTCTTATAAGGTAATTTTTCTAATTTCTACTGACAAAAGCTTTGCAGCACTTAGAAAGCACCATCCATGTCTACCAAGAATATACTTCTGTTGCCAACCAAGAACAGTGTATTTTTTTTGGTTGCATCTGCCACCTTTAATTACTAATCCATGTGAGCTATGCCTCTAGAAACTCCATATACTATAATACTATCTAAAACCTTCAGAAAGGCCTTTAAAAAAAAGACCAAGCAGCAATCTCACTGTATTCTCTATTTACATATAAAAACAAGGAAGGGAAAGAAGGGAGGCACTTATAAAGCACAGCCAGACAGAAGCCTAAAAAGTATTATCTACCAGTTTTTGAGCAGGCAGAAATATACTAGAACAAAATCTGCTGATCTGATTGCTAAGCCCTAGTCTGCCACCGTAACAAATCCAGCAGCTGGTACAGTCCTTACTGTTTTAATGCAAGGCAGGTTAAGGAAAATGATTGGCAGATTTCCCTTCTCATCAAATATCACTTGCTGGCAGGAGAACAACCATCAGACACTCTCCATAATAATGTGGTGGACAGTCTTAGATAAAAGTAGGTAAGTGTTTGAAGCAGCTTATTTTGACATCTGTCACATAGCAGCACCATGCCTCTACCTGGTTAGACTATTTCTGAATACAGATTTAGCACTCTTCTGAAAGAGCACTAAAGCCATGTCTAAAAATAGCCTGGGTGACCATCACAGTGGTAGAGGAGGGGTGTGGGGTGAACTAGGAAGAAATGATTAATAAAGAACAAGCTCCATCCTCAAGTAGTGCTGCAAAAGAGAGGTGTGCCGGCACTGACTCTAATTCTGTGGCCTCTGAAAGTAGCCCATGGATAGCCATGGTGCAGAACTGAGTAGGCAAAATGACACCATTCCCCGCAAGGCCACCACCATACTAGAAACAGTAAAAGCTACAGCCATGCCAAACCTCTCGTTAGCAAAAGCAGTGGAAAACCCTGCAATGCACCCAAAACAGCAACCAGCAACACACTGCTGGCAGAATGTGGCTCTCCGTCCCGATGTAAACTGATCCTCTAGGCAACACAAGACTAGCACTTTCTCAGGAAAGTTCAGTTTTTTATAAACAAGAGAAATACTGTTTCAAAAGAACACTAAGCTTGTTTATAAGAAGCCCACATTAAGACCTGAAAAAACACTTCAGAAATCACCAATCAGGCATTATATATGGGCAGATGCTTCTGCAGAAGTCTGACACCTGACTTCTCCTGCAGCCCGAGCCAAAATGGGGGCATGAAAATGAGCGCATAAAATTCATATAAGAAACAATAGGTAAAAGGTGCTACTTGTCATCCTGTTCCTCATTGATCAAGCAAACGATGTATCAACGTATCAATTATTTGGTAACTGGGTATGTTCATTAAGCAGACATTGTCTGCTTGTGCAATTAAACCGACTGGCAACTAAAAAAGATCTATCTTGCTTCTGATATGCAGGGTTCATCTAAGGCTATATGATGCCTGCTGAATGTTGTATAATTGCACTGAATGAAGACTGGATGAAACAGAAATTGCAGAGAAGCAAAGGAACTAGTTTGGAAACTATACACTAATATAATTTGTTCAGAACTCAGATGTGAACAATAGTGATGCAACTCCAGTAGTGATATGAATTCCTCTGAGCCCTCCAATATTGCTAGAGTCAAGAATATTGTCTACCTGTCTACATTCTACAAATTTAGGCAGGAGTTAAGAGATGAGTCTGAGGCTGACAGAGGAGTGCTTTTAGGTTAATACAAAAATTCAGTTTCAATTCCTCTACATAGTGAAACAACAGTGGTTGTGAAGGTAGCCTACATGCCAGGATGTAGGTTCAGCCCCCCTCTTCCCCCCAGTGAGACGTAATCACCCCAGCCTCCATCTTCTGGGGATAGCAAAGAATTAGTTCTTTTAAAACAAAGGGGAGAATTTGGCAGAAGTCCATGGACTAATCCAGGACAAGGGTATTCTCAAAATCTAGGAAAGAATAGGGAGTTGTTCGAAGTATGGCAAATGAGGAACAGATGGACATTTCACCCTTCTCTCTTAAGCAAAGCCTTAGTCCATTAGTTACGGAATCTATGAAAAGAAAATTTAAACAGCTCTTAGAAACCTCACCTTAACAGGTTTCTTAATTTTCATTAACAAATTAAGATTGCACTTTTCTTATTTAGTTTCTAAGATTCTATAGTATAATCCCTTCTTCCTGATTAATGAGACACTGCATGAATTTTGCTCCCTTGGTCAAGTATCACCATTATGGTACTAACAATGGAACTTTCTATTACAGTGTTGTCTGAACCCTAAACTGTGGTTAACATTAACTATGATTTGACAATTGTTTTTAATAATCAATAATCTACAGTTAAAATGAAAAATAAAATTTCAAAATTTCAAATGACACAATAAGCTCTAGTAGTAGAAACAAAACCTTCTCATTAAAACTAATTTGGGTGATCCATCAGATAAAGAATATAGGAGTCTGCACTTTTCTGTTCCAAGCTATTTTTGGCCTTGTAGGAGGGAGAAGCACACAAGCCTGAATCTGACTGTCATGAAATCATAGTTTAGATACAACATCTGAATGAGAGCACAATGTATTTTTTCCCATTAACTTAGTGACATATTTCCTGTATTAAAAATATAGCATATTAAGTATATTAAGTCTGATATTTTTCTATGGATTATACTTACTACTCCCCACCAAAGTGCATCAGCGTAGCTGCTAAATTCATGCTCTCCCGAGTCATTCACAGCATCTTTTTCAGCCAAATACACAAAATATGAAGAAAAAATCAAGCCCAGAAACCCAATGTACAGGGTAGTTATCAATTCCTAAAAGAAGAAAAAGAAAAAAATTAGTGACTACTTTATGATATATGGAATACTACTGTCATCAGAAGCTATTTTGTAAAAATAATATCTGATGCTTGAGTTCATACTTCAGTGGGTTCATTATTTCCCAGTAATACACATAAATTAACTTGGTAACATCCAGAGAGAGGGACCTAAGTGCCAGAAACCTTAATTCTAAAAAGCCAACAGCTCAGCCTAAAAGCCCTCAAAATATGAAAAATTCCCAATTTGTGCTGAAGGAAGCCTAAATATAAATTAATTTATATCCATATTAGATGAAAAGAATTCTTATAAATTCCACATGATTTTTTTAGTTATCATGCTTCAAAATAATACCACCTCTCCTTGTTTAATGACTGCAATCCATTCCTTAAATTGGAAGCAAAATGGTTGCTAAGTGAAATGGTCGCTAAGCGAACACATGATTGAGAGGAGAGAGACACTGCAAAGATCACTGGTTGCTGCCGCCTCATTCAAATAAAGTTCTCTTGTACAGTGTCTTGTGCCTGACCTGGTTTTTATCCTTTTTTGCCCCCTCAGAGGGCAGAGAGATTGCTCTCTTCCTGAGCTGCTTTTCTTAGCAATGCAGAGCTTCCCTAAAAAATGCTAACTGCAGGTTAACAGCTGAACTCTGGCTAGCTGGCACTACTATCTGAAACTGACCAGACCTTAATCAGTTTCACACTGAAGGCTTTGGTTACCAGGCACACAAAATTTAGTTGCAAATTGTGCACATTGGTCAGAAAATGATCTTTTTTAAAAAAAAATACTGTCGTATTTGCGAACAATTGCTAAATGAGGTAGCTGCTAAACAAGGAGCACCTGTAAACTGAAGTTCAATAAATAATATACAATATTATGTTTTCAAAGCCCTGGCAGTACAATCTTATACATGTTTACTCAGAAGTAGGGACCAGTGAATTTAACCATCACTCCTAGGTTAGTGTGTAGAATAATAGTATCTGCTGATTAAGACTAATTGTCAAAAGCACCATGAAAATAGGCATGTAAGAAACTTGGATTTCAACAAATTGTAATGGAACTGTAGCAAATTTTAAAATGCGACTAGACCTGACACTCAATTAAAGAATACTGAATCAATTCAATTATATAAGAGTTAATTAACTGATTAAATCTGCATGTGAATAAAGCAAAACTTCTAATTGAAAAGGACACTTCTTTTAACATATACCTAGGTCAAAGCATGAATGTAAGAGAGAAGTAGGAATGACTTTAAAGTTAGATCCAGTCATCTGCAGTTGTAAAGACTTTGAAATATTGTTTTAACAATACAGGAACTGCTTTTTGATTTATCAGAGAACTTTTAGTAAAACTTCTTTGTCAAAATATTTTGCATTTCAAAATGATTGCATCTAATATATACTTAGTAATTATGTTAATAAGGTAATCTAACTCAGACTTCTATCATGCACTGAGGGTCTCAGGGAAAAAAAAGTTTGCATATGTTCCATATTTCTATAAACTACTAGACTGACCACATTCAGGTGGTTATTTCTGACTCATTAAGCCAAGATATGCACAAGACTATTGCATCTGCATATAAACCTTTTCTCTGCCCTTTGCCACAATCTACAATTAGACAAGAAACCTCTAATTTTCCAGTTTCCATTTCTTCCAGATTGGAAAAATATAACTATCAGTTTCAGATATGCTCGGAGTATTAATGGCCAAACCACATGTCATTTTTTACTCTAGAGTAAACATAGCTGAACAAATCCAATTGGAAACCTTAATGAATGGGGTGTGACTCTAATTCTCAGCCCCATACTGAGGTCATGATCTAGAACAGACCTTTCATATTTGCAATTAACATTGTCAAGAACTGAACCGTTGAAATAAATTTATCTTGTTTGGGCAAATCAAATGGCAGGAACAGTTAATCCAACCTGTTTTAAGACGATAGGGGCACAAAAGTTTTGAATGCTCCTTTTCCATACACTATCAATACAAGTCACACACAAAAAAAACATGCTGTGTTTCCTGTACAATAAAATGAAAATAAAACATAGTTGCCAACTACCACTCTGTGCATTGAATTTGGTAATTCAGAACAGATTTTCATTTACCCATGGAGGAACAGATAGGTCTGAACAAAATTTACTCCAGTTTTGGATTTCTACAAAACCAAGTCAAAGATTTGTATGTATGTATGTATTTATATTCTGCCTATCCTCCAAGATCTCAAGTGAATGTATATGGCTCTTTCCCTCTATTTTATCTGAATATCAACTGAAAAATTGATCAGGCTGAGAGATAACTGATCCAAGCACATCCCAATTAACTTCACAGTCAAGTGAGATTTGAACGTCAAGCTCCCATATTTTAATCTAATGCAATTTTAACATTTAGGCTTGTATTAAAGATAGTAACCACAATTTCTCACATTCAGATGAAAGAAGAAGCCATGGGTAACTATTTTCTATTCCACTGAGGCTCATAGCAAAAGGAGGAAGCAAAGATTCTGCCTTGTTTTTTTAAAATGATGATGATGATGATGATGATGATGATGATGATGATGATGATGATAATAATGTTTACCCACTTTAAAGATGTTGAGGCTGTCTTGAGGCCTCAATGGTTAGGTGGGGGAATAGGTGCAATTACACACACACACAAAGTATTGCATTTATTTTAAAGATATATAAATCTGTGATACTTCAGAATAATGCAGTCATAGGAAAAAATGTAAAGCAAATATATTATAGGACATAAGGCTCCTAAATTAGCATATATTGAACTAAAGTGGCTAGAATTCACATGATGTTATCTTCTGGGCAGGTTTAACATTCATTTTCATTTGGAAGACTCATTGGATATTATAAATGCCCACATTCTTTGAATTATATACTAATGGTTTGGACATTTACAGGAGGATCACATACTTGGATACTTTCCTGATTTCAAAATGACTGATACTACAAAAGTGGAAGGCCATCGATTATCCTATGGGCTGAAAAACTTCCCTTTCTTTTTGTATTTTAAAAAAGCATTTTGTTTCTGGGAGTCCAAATCTGAGGACTATTTAGAAATTTAGAAAGCATATACCAATTTAGGTGTTTAATGATCTAAATTTAATCTTTAAGTAAACATTAATTGTATAACATGACATGGATATAGATATATAATCAGTTCTGATGTTATAAGATGGATATTCGTACTCTCCCTCCCCAATCAGAAAGTTCTGACAGAGATTTCAGTCATCCCCATACCTTTTTCAGAAATTTCAAAAACGAAAGCAAACAACATTCCACCATCACCACCATCAGTACAAAGGAGAACCCAAAATGGATCTGCCAGATCTGGTAGTCAATAATACCTATGTGGTACTGAAACCAAGGATGGTTATAGAGCACTTAGGGCTCCAGAATGCAAGTACAGTTCCTCTGTAGACCTTCCAATCCATGTTGGAAAGTCAGAGACTGTATAAGTAGGGCTGGAACACAGCTTCCTGGCTTTAATCCATGGGTACTTTTTAGAATGACACCTCTAGGTGCTCCAAGAATAATGTGAATCTAGATACCCAACAATAAATAAATACTCACACTTCCATTATGAGGTTTTGCATACCTGTCTATGTATAAACACTACTGATCCCAACAGTCTCCATGTGCCGCCCTGCCGATCTACATGAAGCATGCGCAGAATCTGCAGAAACCGGATGCCTCTGGGGGAAAAAAAAGTGTTTATTCAAGGAAAGGTGAAAGAAAACAAATTAAAAAAAATTTGGAAAATAAAGGCTAGATTACCAAAAAGAAAAAAGCC